CTAGTATAGAGCTGTATGAATGGGTAAATGAAGACACAGATTGTAAAGAGCTTTGAGTATCTTGATCAAATAAACAGGTGCTATAGAAGTACAGTCCATTTACCACTTCTTTTGGTGCTCTTCACACGTTTACAGTTTTTACATCAAACTGTCAGTATTTTTTCAGCATAGGTCAGGGGTGGGCAACATTTGAAGATATGGAGCTGCATAGAGAATTAGAAAATAAATTTCATCTGGAGGACTTTCTTGTAGCACAGTTAGTATGCTTGATTAAAAACATGCGTCTCCAACACTCTTTAGGAATAGAAGACAAACTTTCTGTAAACTGACTCTTGCAACAACTTATGACCCTGAATGTGCAGATAAAATAACGCTGTTTTTTTGTTTGTTTGTTTTGTTTTTGTTTAAATGTTCAGTCCAGTCCTGGAAACATACCAACTTTAAAAAGGTTTGTCTTAACCGAAATGTTTTCACTGTATTTGTCCAAGATGTCTAATTGAAACTTATTTAAATTTAGTTTATAACCTGTTGGTGTTTAAAGTGTTTCTTTCTAATTAAGATTTTGGGGGGCGGATGAAGACAGTCCAAGGGGGGGTCCGTGTACCTCAAGGGCCACATTTGGCCCTTGGGCCATAATTTGACCAGGTCTGGTTTAGATCATTACAAAAGTTGGTCTCATATGTTTTGGGGCTTTAGAGAAGAAGGAAGTTGTTTGTGTCTGCACTTTTCAGTAGATCTGCAGAACTTTTTGCTGTCCTCTCCCTGTCCTTTGATGAGACCACATTCTGTCCTCTCCCTGTCCTTCGATGAGACCACATTCTGTCCTCTCCCTGTCCTTCAATGAGACCACATTCTGTCCTCTCCCTGTCCTTCAATGAGACCACATTCTGTCCTTTCCCTGTCCTTCAATGAGACCACATTCTGTCCTCTCCCTGTCCTTCCATGAGACCACATTCTGTCTTCTCCCTGTCCTTCAATGAGACCACATTCTGTCCTCTCCCTGTCCTTCAATGAGACCACATTCTGTCCCGTCTAATTGATAATTTGTCTCGTAGGAAAACTGTCTGGGAGTCTGGTAATCATCTGTCTTTTTGTCTCTTGCTGTATTTCCTCTCAGTCTGTCTGACGTCTCTGAGCAAACGGGTCAATACACATGTGGCTCATTCTCCAACCAGGACAGCAACACCCTCATCTAATGTTTGTGTGACAAAAAAAGGGCAAGGCAAATCCTCGCAATGGAATCAGATAATCACCGACCTGTGAAGAGCCTGCCCCAATCCACATCCGCCCCGGAGGGGGGTGGAGGGGGGCCTGGAGCCCCCCACACCCCCCTCACAGATTAGCTGTTTGTTTGGTTAATAATTTTAAATTACTGGAGTGGGACGAGAATGGGCAAAGGAGCGCTGAATAAACATCTAAATATCTGCTTGCCTTCCTGTTTCTGCAACACCCCATCATAGACCCCCCCCCCCCCCCCAACACACACACACACACACACAAAACATGCCTGCCATATGGTTGATCTTCCACACCCAGACAGAAGCCTCTGAGTGACAAGAGTCCTGCCAGACCAGCTCAGTCTGACATTGTACGGAGGAATGTCCTCATGGGGGGAGGGGGCCTTCAGGTTCACAGGGTCAAGAGATGTCTGTCTGGGACACATGTGTGGAGCACACACCACTGCTGCAGAGTGGAGTAATTCAGGAGAAACTGATGTCTGTGATGAAACAAAGTGACCGTGAGTCAGGTGGTCTCAGACTTCAGGACTCGTTTTCATGTTTAAACCAGTAACAAACATTTTCACACCAGCACATTTCATATTTCTTTCTCCTGATTTGTTCAAAAAGGAGTGAACAGAAGTCTAAACCTACCTTTTCATCCTGCGTTACCTGAGTGTCACGTAATAAATCCTGCTTTTCTTGTCTCTGGTTTTAGGAGTCCCTGAAACATCCAAGCAGACCTCCCAGTTCTGGCACGCTTCAAAACAAGCCCAGACAGATGAAAAAAATCAAGATCTAAGAAATAAAACATGAAACTGGTTTCCCTAACTCCAGCTGTTTAAAGGTTTTATTGCTAAACATTATGAGTTAAGTTAAAATGGATTTAATAAAACAAGTCTCTCAGAAAGCACCAATGAAAAAAAGAGTAATATAAATGTTAATGAAAAAAAGAGTAATATAAATGTTATATAATATAAATAATAATAATAAGTAATAATAAGTAATATAAATGTTATATAATAATATAAATAATAATAAATAATATAAAAAAAACCAAAGGGATGCTTTTTTCAAATAGGAAGTTGGTCCCAGCAGTTCTTCCTCCGATTTTATCCTCAAAAGGTGTCCCCATTGAGTTTGTTGATTCCTATAAATATTTGGGTATCTTGGTCGACTCACATCTTTCTTTTAAGCTCCATGTGGAAAACTTGGTAAAGAAACTGAAAGTTAAACTGGGTTTATTTTTCAGAAACAGATCCTGTCTAACCCTGAATGCTAGAAAACACCTTGTATCTGTGACTTTCCTTCCCTCCATTGATTACGGTGACATTATTTACATGAACGCTCCTACAAGAACCCTGCAGATGTTGGATGCTGTCTATCATGGTGCACTAAGATTCATAACTGGCTGTGATTATCGTACCCACCATTGCACCCTGTATTCACTGGTTAACTGGACATCATTAACTTCACGCAGACTCTCTCACTGGTATATTTTCATCTTTAAATCACTTCTTGGTCTGCTGCCTTCATACATCTCCTCCTACATGTCTCTGCGTGAGTGCAGCTACGGAGTGCGCTCTCAGGACATTATTACCTGCAGTGTTCCCTCAATGAGGACTGAACTAGGCAAAAGGGCCTTCTCCTACTCCGCTCCTGTTTCCTGGAATATCTTGCAAAAAGACTTGAAGCTCTCGACCTTGACCTCTCTAAGTGCCTTTAAGAATCTGTTGGACTCCTGGCAGGGACCGATGCAGACATGTTCCTGTTTTTAGTTTTCTACATTTGTCTTGGAATCTAGCTGTTTTTTTGTTTTGTTACCTTTTTCCTTTTAGCCATCCTATTTGTTAAAAAAAAAAAAAAAACTGTAGTATGAGTTTTTATAACTGCTTATTGTTGTTGCTGTTGTCCATTGTTGTCATCTTTCTTTGTTGAAATCAGGTCTCTCTTGTAAATGAGTCCTCGAGGCTCAATGGGATTTACCTGTATAAATAAAGGTTGATTGATAAATAATAATAAGAATATAAATGTTATATAACAATATAAATAATAATAAGAATATAAATGTTATATAATAATATAAATAATAATAAGAATATAAATGTTATATAATATAAATAATAATCAGTCAGAGAGTCTTTATTGTCATTCGCACCTCATGTGGTACATGTGGTGGAACGAAATGATGTACACAGGGTCCCAGTTACATCCAACAATAAAATGTAACAGAAAAACAGTAATAACATCTAAGATATGAACTAAGAAAAACACCAACTAAATATACACTAAGCACTAACAGAATAAAAACATTACATCGAACAACAGCACGAACATGAGTCTGTGAGCAGATGAGCACGAATGAACACATCAACATGAAACAGATCAGCAGCAACATGAAACAGATCAGCAGCAACATGATATGGTTTTTCACAGTGATTATTCTGGTTAGAGATTCATGAGTCTAACAGCCTCAGGGTAGAAGCTGTTCCTCAGTCTAGTGGTTCTACACTTAATGCTCCTTAACCTCCTTCCTGAGGGGAGTGGGGCAAAAAGTGTGTGTGCTGGGTGAGTGGGGTCCTTCATGATGCAGGTGGCCCTCTTCCTGTATGTGGAGGTGTAGATGTCTGTGATGGTGGGGAGAGTGATTCCAACAGATTTCTGTGCAGCCTTCACCACTCTCTGCAAAGCTTTTCTTTCTGCAGCTGTGCAGCCTCCATGCCACACGTTGATGCTGGAGCACAGGATGCTCTCCACTGCACACCTGTAGAAGGAGGTGAGGACTGAGCTTCCAGACCAGCTCGCCTCAGCCGTCTGAGGAAGTAGAGTCTCTGATGAGCTTTCTTGATCAGGCTGGTGGTGTTGTTGCTCCAGCTGAGGTTGTCATTCATGTGTACACCCAAGTACTTGTAGCTGGAGACCACTTCCACTGCAGATCCTCTTATGTTCAGGGGGGTGTAGGTGTTTTTGTTCCTTCTGAAGTCCACAATCATCTCCTTCATCTTCTTCACATTGATGTGAAGGTTATTCTCTCTGCACCAGCTCTCCTGGTGTTCCACCTCCTGCCTGTAGCTGGACTCATCATTGTTTGTGATGCATCCCACCACCACTGCATCATCTGCAAACTTTACAATGTGACAGCCTGGATGGGTAGCTGCACAATCATATGTGAGCAGAGTAAACAGGCGGGGGCTCAACACACATCCCTGAAGATAATAAGTAATATAATGTTATATAATAATATAAATAATAATAATGATAATAATAATATAAATGTAATATAATGTAAATAATAATAATAATAATAAGTAAAATAAATGTGCACAAATAACACTTTATTCAGTATAAGGAGTCATACTTTTGAAATAAAGTAAAATTCAGATCAGTTCATTTTATTGCTAGCACCAAGTCACAGCACACTTCATCTCACTGAACAGAAACATTCATATACAACTAGTAACATTATTTATCTGAGGAAGGGCAGCCAGCACATATTTGATGCTTTTAGTTGCTTTAATATAATAAGATCTGTTTCTTTTAAAATAACTAAAAGCTCTAAACTCAGGTTAAACAATTGTTGGAGTTAAACTCTAGTAATCTTTGAGAGGAACAGCCAGATGATGAAACTGGATGCTGATTGGACTCTGCTGTTAAAACACATCCTGTTTGGGAAGGGGCACCTTTGTCTGATAAGACACCCCCAATTCACAAAGTTTGACTGAGTGGGCGGGCCGCAACCATATAAAAGGCCCATTAGGTTGCGGTGCGTTTTATGTCTCCATCATGGATTGTGTGCGTGTGTTGCTTCAGTGCGCGGCTCTGCTCGGCCTCTCCGGGGCCTTCAGCCATCAGGACGTGAAGGACGCGCTGCTGCAGAAACTCGGCCTGGATCAGGTTCCTCACATCCACAAACGGGACTTGGAGAACCTGGTGATACCGGCGCGCATGAAAAACAAGTACTCGTCCCTGCTGAAGGTGCAAGGCAGCAGGATGCGCAGATCTGTGCCCAGCCTGGCGGGCATTCTGAGGGGGGCCCCCGGCAGTGCAGGTAAGGAGACTTTGTCTCAATGGGACACTAAATGTGATTAGACTAGATTGATTGTAGTTTGGATGTAGCAGTAGCAGAACGAACACTTGTTTCCACGCGTAATGGCGACTTCTGGTGCGTAAAGACGCTTTTACGCACAAGAGCTTTGCTCAGACGTGTGAAATGTTTGGTGTGTAGATGTCTCCGGGGAGTTCGTGTACTCGGACGCCACCCGGCACCGCATGGTGTTCAACATGGAGGCCAGGATCCCGGAGAACAGCGAGGTGACCATGGCCGAGCTGAAGCTCTACCAGCGACCTTCTCACCACAAGCGCTTCACGGCGGAGCGGAGGAGCCACCGGCCGGTGAGCAGCGCCATGGTGAGCATCTACTGGGTGGAGGTGCTGCCCGGAGGCTCCAACCGGACAGCCCTGGTGGATTCACGGTGAGGGCACGAGCTCCTTCTGATTCCATCAGAAACTAAAGATCGAGTTTGAACTCACCCTTGTGCTTCACAGGCTGGTCCCCATTCACGAGACCGGCTGGAAGAGCTTTGACGTCACCCAGGCGGTGCACTACTGGTCCAAGATGCAGCAGCACGCGACCCTCATGCACCTGGAGGTGTGGATCGAACCCGAGAGACCCGGAAGCCACGCTGCAGAGATGGCCAGGAGTGTCCGCTTTACCACCGAGCAGCAGCCGGACATGGAGAAGCCCGAGCTTGTCCTCTACACGCTCAGCCTGGAGGAGTACGGGTAAGAACCACCCCCACCACCAGTACAACTCAACCCCCCAGTTTCATATAACAAGGATACACCCCAGTGAAAATGAGCCCCCTCCCCCCGTTTATTTGAATGTTTCTAGTTTTTGTTCAGCAGAGCTTATTTTTGTATTTTATCATTCTGGAGCTTTATTTTGAAGAAACTGAAACAAAAACAGGTTTTATCTTTGGCGCTTTTATTAGTTGAATTTCAAAAGTTTTTATTGTTCAAATGAAGAGGAGCAAATGACAAGTGTCCCCCCCCCCCCCAAAACCCTAATTAATAATAAAAATACTGAATAGAACAAATAATTATAACTTTAGTTTGATGCTTTTTGAAATATTTTCACATTTTTGTATTTAAAGAAGGAGGAATTGAATTTGAGTCATTTGGATGAGCTGGAGTGTAAAAAAAAGCCCCCTTGCAAAGCCCCCCCCCCCCCCCCATTTGAATAAATGTTTAGAATAAATGTAAACACATTTCTAACTGATACAACAAACAAAAATGTTGTATTTGTATTTCAGTGTATTATAATTATAGACATTATAATGTATATTATAACGTGTATATAATTAATAATTATATTTTAAAAAGGAAGTAAATAATCTTATGGGGTGTAAGTAGGACATTTGGGCCCTTGGTTTAATTAGGAATCCATCCATTATCTTTTACCCGCTTCTTCCATTTTGGGTCACGGGGGTCGCTGGTGCCCATGTCCAGCAATCACTGTGTGAGGGACGGGGGACACCCTGGACGGGTCGCAAGTCCATCACAGAGACACATAGAGACAAACGAGACAAACAACCATTCATTCACTCTCACCTAGGGACATTTCAGAGTTACCAGTCAGCCTAACATGCATGTTTTTGGACTGGGAGGAAACCGGAGTACCCGGAGAAAACCCACACATGCACAGACAGAACATGCAAACTGCACCCAGAAAGACCCCTGGACCAGGATTTGAACCAGGGACCTGCTCGCTGAGAGGAACCAGCTCTACCAGTTGCGCCACCGTGCCGCCCAGAAACCACCCAATTTTATTAATTTTTTTAACTAAAAAACTTTTTATTTTGTTGCTTTTAATGTTTTGAATTATTTACTATTATTAGTTTTGTAATTCATGCTTATTTTAAGAAGGAAGGGTGTGAGGAGAGTTAGTAAATACATAAAAATAAGAGAAAAATAAGACTTTCATTTAAAAATGACAAGTTTGGTAAACGGATAAAAAGCGGACCCCTTCCTCTGAAACACTGAAGATGTTTTAGCTTTAAAGCAGACCTGTAATAAAATGTTGCAGTTTGAAATGACTCTGGTCCGTTTGGCTGAAGAACAGCAGATGGTTTTAAACTGTGCAGGGGTGGAGTTAGGATATCCAGGGCCACCTGCCACCCAGTCCTTTTGTGCCCCTTAGTTTATTTTTATTTTCTCCTTCTCATTTGTCCCTCAGCTCTGGTGGTGACTGTGACGTAAACCCAAAGCGAGGCGTGTGCTGCAGGGAGCAGTACTTCATCGACTTCAGCTCGCTCACCTGGACTCAGTACTGGATCATCGAGCCAGCCGGGTACCAGGCCTACAGGTGCACCGGAGGCTGCAAACAGCCCCAACGCAGCCACGGCTACGGGGAGCGGCGCTGCGTGGTGTCGGAGAGCTCCACGCTGCCCATCATGTACCTGGTGAAGAAAGAGGACCACACCGAAATCGAGGTGGCCGAGTTCCCCAACATGATCGTGGAGAAGTGCGCGTGCATGCTGGACAACGTGTCGCTCGTGTGAAGGCTGGAGCTCCGGCCGTGGTGTCCCATGTATTTAATGCTTTTTAACATTTTGTCCAGAACTTTATTCAATTGGACATTTAGGAAGAGATCGCTGCCGTCTCCCTCTACACGCACTTTTATATATTTTGTAAATAAACATTTGTAGAAACTGGCTCGTCTGTAGTGTGACCACTCAAATTCTGTTGGATCCTTCCTGTTTCTCAATGTTCTCAATCATGAGTTTATGTTTGAAAAATAAAATATTTTATTTCCAGAGCTTCCTCTGAGCCGCTCTGGTTTAATTCACATTCCCTGATCACATCTGCATGCAGCTGCCTGCGTCTTCCACCTCGTTTGCACCTACAGGAAACATCTCCCTGGCAACATGGGGGAGTCACCCAGGGTCCCATAACGATGGTCGAACCTGCTCGTAACGCTTCGTTTACAGAATCTGCTGCAGGAGAAACGCCCAGAGCATCAGACCCTGATGCTGTTTTCTGACATTAGACTGGGGGGGGGGTGTTTCTCAATGTTCTCAATCATGAGTTTATGTTTGAAAAATAAAAT